AGAACTTTCTTTTCTTTTGTCTGCTATTTGCATAGTTATTTTAAAATATTTTAAATATTACATCCAGTATTTTTATTACAGTATTTTTTTTCAAATCAAGGGTACCACCTGTATCTGAAAACAACTTTACTACTAAGCTTGTCAACAAAGAAAAACCTTATTAAACACCAAGGTTTTCTAGACCCTTGTCCTCTAATTATGACTTCCAGCTACATCATCTGTAATCATGATAAATTTAATTTTATACAGCTCTTGATGTTTTCTAAGAAAATTGTGTCATTTTGTTTTTATTCCCTGTTTTGGAGTCCTGAATGCTGCTGTTTTATATTATATTGAACTAATTAGAATTATTACAATTAAGTAATAGTTTATAAGCTTTGTCATCTTGAAAGTCAGTTCGTTTTAAATCATAAGTTGGCGAGAAATTACTTGAAATTCTTTATAATATTTTTCTGTAATTAAGTGATACTGATCAACCTAAGTACACACATAACTATGCACATTTAAACTTAAATCTGTGATTATTGAATTTGTATTAGTGAATACATTTGTATTAGTGAATACAAACTGTATTCACTAATACAAATGTGTCCAGCAATGAGCTGTGACCAAAGAGGAACTTAATTATCTGTATAGCTGAAAGTATCCTAGGAACAATAGATAGGGAAATGGGGCATTGTGGAGGAAAGTGCTCTTAAGGATGAGAGGTAAGAGTTATGCAATGATGATGAAGGAAGTCAGGAAACTTAACAAAGAACTGAAGTTTGTCTGCAGGACTCTTCTCCTCTTTCCACATCCTCCTTCATTGCTTCATTTCCTTCTTTCTCTCAACTAGTCTGTATCACTGATTGACCAGCCAATGACTTTTTGGTAAGCACCCACCTCGGCTAGGAAAACTTTCTTTAGAACAATGAATTCTGACTGTGTAGCCCCCAAATTTGGTTTCTTTGGCCTCAACAATGTTTTGAAGCTTTTTTAAATACATGCCCAAGTTTATGAATGAATTTCAGACATTCTCTGAGCAACACAGAAGATCTCACAATACTGGGTCTCCATTTCTTCATGATAGTAATCTGCTAGAGACAACCTTGACAGATGGGACTTAATCTTTCAGCTCAACACATCACCTCTATTTTTCTGTAATCTCATTCTAAGCTTCTCACCTTCTGGCCCTATAGGTTTGGGGTTTATGGTTTCTGTTATAGTCAAAATAGTCCTCCATTTTCATCCCCAGTATAGCTTTCCTGTTATAATCTATATCATATTCTAATGTTTTATCAATGCTAGCAATTTAAATGTAACCATGGACATTATTATCATAGTCCAAAGATCTCAATAGTGGTGAAAAATTTAAGTCCTAAAGAAGTTCAGTTTTTGAATCCCTATTTGGACCTGGAAATCATTTTTTTCAAATTACATACTACAGGTAATTATGTATTGTACCTATATGCAAGGTAGGCTATTACCTCTCTGGCTTAGGAAATTAGAAGGTGAGCAAATGAGCAATTACTGTTCTACTTTTATGTTCTTATGTTCGTGTCTGCAGAACATAGCTCTAAGTCCTGCACCAAAGATGCAAAGCCAATCCACAGAAGAAAAGTGATTTAAACAAAATGTTCATTTGGTACCATCCTCATTTTGTTGCATTTTTGTTAGGCATCAAAACCTTTAGTAATGAACCCTTCTAGTCCCTTATACTCAGAATATAACCCAATCCTTTATCCTAATGCAAGATTCTAGATATTTGAGTTTTTGTGGGAATGTACCAGAATGATAAGAAACAGTTGTTATCTATACAGACTCCTATTTTTGAAGTGTCCATGCAATTTTTAAGATACCCTGTATATTCATATGTGCTAATAGACAACAGACTAGTATTAGTTATCATAATTTTTATGCTAGTGCCTAGTACATGGTAGCCAGCAATCTCTTTTTTTTTCTGAGTGGATGCATGGACATGCTTGAAAAATATCTTGATTTGCAAAGTGGATAAAGTTGACATGTAGACTACTTTTTTCGGAATTCTACAGCTAAGAAATCAAGTATTTGATTTATTTTGCCTTGTTTTGCCTTTCAATTTATGAAAATAATTTTCATCATTCCTCATGGTCAATACATGTTTGAGAATATATTTATTTTGAATAATCAATGGTAAGATTTTCACTATAACAAGGTTTGCACATGTTCTAGGAGTCTCCTAACAGGACACTATACTATAGAGGACCCCTCTATAGGAGAAAACAAGTTTGAGGGATTAAAATCTTTCCAGTAATTTTCTTGCTTATTCTTTGTTTCTTATTTTCATGATTCAAATCCATGGCTCCCAAAACATTAATGAACACCAGTCATGGGTCAGTAAATATTTTCAATCTGGAAGGATAATTAGAAGTTCCCAACATCTGGAAAGTTTCTTTAACCTGGGAATTCTTTAAAAAAAAAAAACAATAGATTTGACTAAGCCTGTTCTTCAAATGAAAACATAAACAGCGAAACAAAGTTACATTAGGAAAAAATTGTGTGCAGGTATGAACCATAACAATTTATGTTAATTCATAGTTTTTCTCATTAAGAAGAATTATTCAATATAATAAGTAGTCATTTTTATGGTTTCTTGCAGTTCTACTTAGTGAATTCTGAAATGTTGAGAACCTTTAAAAATAGTCACAAGTCAGTAGTCACAATTCTTTCATTTCTTCATTCAACAAATATTTGTACCCATTAAATGAGTACCTACAATATTTTTTAAAATAATATTTAAAAATTTAGTTAACTACCTAGAAATTTCATTATCTCTATTTCTCCATTCCCTTGCAGTAATTTCTGTTTTGTGTATCTTTTTCTCATTCTACCAGAATCATTTAATTTTGTATTTACCAGTGGACTTTTTTTCTTTTCCCTATTTCTATTTTTTTTACTTTTGGTTTTGACACATAATATAATTGCACATATTTCTGGGGTGCAGTGTGATGTTTTGATACATATACATTGTTATAATAATCACATCAGGGTATTTAGCATATCCATCTCCTTTGGTAGGAAGGAGAGTTCTTATTTTGGAATGTTTCTATATTCAGTGCTATAACACTTCCATGGTAACAAAACTAAACACCCCCTTATCAAGCCATTTCATAGTCATTAGCATGTAGTACAGGAGAAAATTCTAAATTTTAAAATTGCTATAACTAATCTCCCACATGCAAATTAAGGAAAAACAAACAATGCATAATTTTCACCCTATTATTGAACTCCGTTGGACTGAAAAGATTATTGTGGAAAAACTTTCAAAATTATGAAACATTTATCTATATTGCATTTTGGAAAATTATTAATGAAGAAAATAATTATAAGATATGACATTATATTCTTATAAGTCAATATTTTTAAGGGATTTGGAAAGTGACTTTATCAATACATAATAGTTTTCTGCAGAGATAAGATTTTTAAAGAAAACAGTATTTAATGTGTGCCTACAGTATTATACAGTTTTCTCATTCAGTCCTCAAAACAACTTTATGATTTGATTGTGTCTATTATATAATAGGAAATGAACTGAGGTTGAGCGAGAACAAGTAACATGCTAGATAGCCCCTCTGGACATATGCTTTATGCGTTTTTCTTCAGATTTCTCTGTGAGAAAGAAAAGGCTACAATTTTAAAATCACTGTAACCTGTTTAAGAGACTGACAGCCTTTATTCTTTTCCATTCAAATATCTTAAATTTCAGAAACACACATATCACTTTCAGATAGTGTTTCATATTATGGCTGTTGACTGAGGAACCAACTAGTGGAGATACATGAGCAGAAAAAATGACACCAGAAAGCAGATGAAAGCCATGGAGGAAATGAATTTAGAAGTGATAAAAAGCAACAAAAGCCCAGGGTCTAGGACAAATGCGGTCTAATTAATTTTCAAGTTCAAAATTCATAGCCTGATGTATTTTCTATTATTTTTCTACTATCAGTATTGTGGTGACTGAGGAGACGGAGAAGAATTCATGTCTTTGGATTTTAATAGAAAGAAAGTAAAAGACAGCTTCTCATAAAGAACAGGCAGCTGGCAGGCAGAAGACCTGAGTAAATCTGCTGTGGAATACTTGGGTACTTTGAGAACATCAGTTTAGCAACTCTCATATCTTATGATAGCCTAAAATTATATGATTCTCAACACCTGTGCTTCTTAGTAGGCAAGGATATGGCAAATTAACTAAAAAAATTTTAAAATACTTGACAACTCACCAACTGTGTATTTTATCTTATTGATTTCAAAAATGGTCCCAGTGAATTTTTCTTTTAGTCAATTCTTTTTGCTTCATGAAGATATTGGTAAGACATTTAGAAAGAGAAGAAAAAATACATAAGAAAACTAAAGCCTAAAGAAAATATGGGACCTAAATAATTAAAATATTTAAAGAGGTAATTGGAAATTAAATCATTCTTTTTTTGGGGGGAGGCATTAAATAATTTGAGGATTTCATTTCAAAATATTGTAGAGTTAGAAAAGGAATGACAGTCACTCCAGTGGGGAGAGAAGGGAATGGCAAGATAGGTATAATAGGAAACTTAATACCATAAACAAACATTTTCAGCCAGTGTAACTTGTATTTTAGATGGCTAACACAGATAGTCTGGTAGCAGATTCATTAGGTAATCCCCTGTGGGTTTAGAAGAAAGATGAGTTTTTAAGATTTCTCCCAAGAATCAAACTAAGTAGAAGCTTACATAAGCAATGAGTTTGGTGCCGATTTGAAAGTTCTCTCTCATGTTACTGGTGGTGTTATAACAATAAGTAACCAATTTACCAGGAAAAAAAATTGTTTTCCAGTTAACCATATTTGTGACCAATACTTGAAATTACACATGGCATTTTTATTTTATTATGCTCTCATAGCTAAAAAATATACATGAAATCATTTTTATTTAAATATAAATTATGAAATTGTTTGGTCTTTGCTTTTGTCATTGATAATAAAGTACTATATTTTGTTTGCTTGATTATAGACCAAAGGTTCTCAAACCATGACACCCTCTGGTTCCCAGAAGAAAGTTAAGAGAACTCTGCCAAATCCACCTCCTGAGGAAGCTTCCACAGGAACTCCATCGACCTTCAGCACAATGGGCACTGTGTCCAGGAGAAGGATCTGCAGAACCAACACCATGGCTCGAGCCAAGATTCTCCAGGACATAGACAGAGAGCTTGATCTTGTAGAAAGGGAATCTGCAAAGCTCAGAAAGAAACAAGCAGAACTGGATGAAGAAGAAAAGGAGATTGATGCCAAATTGCGATATCTGGAAATGGGAATTAACAGGAGAAAAGAGGCTTTATTAAAGGAGAGGGAAAAGAGGGAGCGAGCATACCTCCAGGGGGTAGCTGAGGATCGTGATTACATGTCTGACAGTGAAGTCAGCAGCACCAGGCCAACCCGAATTGAAAGTCAGCATGGCATTGAGCGACCAAGAACTGCCCCCCAAACTGAATTCAGCCAGTTCATACCACCACAGACACAAACAGATTCTCAGCTGGTCCCTCCAACGAGTCCTTACACACAATACCAGTATTCTTCCCCTGCTCTTCCTACCCAAGCACCCACCCCATACACCCAACAATCCCATTTTCAGCAACAAACTCTGTACCATCAGCAAGTTTCACCTTATCAAACCCAACCGACTTTCCAAGCAGTGGCAACAATGTCTTTTACACCCCAAGCTCAACCTACACCAACCCCACAACCATCTTACCAGCTACCATCACAGATGATGGTGATACAACCGAAGCCACGGCAAACCACATTGTATTTAGAGCCCAAGATAACTTCAAACTACGAAGTGATTCGCAATCAACCCCTGATGATAGCACCTGTTTCTACTGACAATACATATGCTGTTTCCCATCTTGGTAGTAAGTACAATAGCTTAGACTTGAGAATAGGTTTGGAGGAACGAAGTAGCATGGCAAGCAGTCCAATATCAAGCATATCTGCAGATTCTTTCTATGCAGATATTGACCATCATACTTCACGAAATTATGTCCTAATTGATGACATTGGAGAAATAAGCAAAGGAACAGCAGCATTAAGCAGTGCATTTAGCCTTCATGAAAAGGATCTGTCGAAAACAGATCGTCTCCTTAGAACCACTGAGGCACGTAGGTCTCAAGAAGTGACGGATTTCCTAGCACCTTTACAGAGTTCCTCCAGATTGCATAGTTATGTGAAGGCAGAGGAAGATCCAATGGAGGATCCTTATGAGTTAAAGCTTCTGAAACATCAGATTAAGCAAGAATTCCGCAGAGGGACAGAGAGCTTAGATCACCTTGCTGGCCTTTCACATTATTACCATGCTGATACCAGCTATAGACATTTTCCAAAATCTGAAAAGTATAGCATCAGTAGACTCACACTTGAAAAACAAGCAGCCAAACAATTGCCAGCAGCCATACTTTATCAAAAGCAGTCAAAGCATAAGAAATCACTAATAGACCCTAAAATGTCCAAATTTTCACCCATCCAAGAAAGTAGAGACCTTGAACCTGACTATTCGAGCTATATGACTTCTAGTACTTCTTCTATTGGTGGTATTTCTTCTAGGGCAAGGCTTCTTCAAGATGACATCACTTTTGGCCTCAGAAAAAATATTACAGACCAACAAAAATTTATGGGATCATCACTGGGCTCAGGATTGGGCACATTAGGAAATACCATACGATCAGCTCTACAGGATGAAGCAGATAAGCCATATAGCAGTGGCAGCAGGTCCAGACCTTCCTCCAGGCCTTCATCTGTCTATGGGCTTGATTTATCAATTAAAAGGGATTCTTCCAGCTCGTCACTGAGACTGAAAGCTCAAGAAGCTGAAGCTTTAGATGTTTCCTTTAGTCATGCATCATCCTCTGCCAGAACTAAGCCTACCAGTTTGCCAATTAGCCAGAGTAGAGGAAGGATACCTATTGTGGCACAGAATTCTGAAGAAGAAAGTCCACTAAGTCCAGTTGGACAACCCATGGGAATGGCTAGAGCTGCAGCTGGACCCCTGCCACCAATATCTGCAGACACCAGGGACCAGTTTGGATCAAGTCACTCATTGCCTGAGGTTCAGCAACACATGAGAGAAGAATCACGAACTCGGGGCTATGACCGTGACATAGCATTCATCATGGATGACTTCCAACATGCCATGTCAGACAGTGAAGGTAAATTGGGCCTCAGACTACCCTGTTACTATCAAAACTCAAACTCTCATTTTTCTGCATGTTTAATTTTCCTTCTCCAAGGATGTATTCTACCTTTCTTGGTGTGTGTTATGCATGTTTACTTCAATTTTATTTCTTGTACATGGAAAATTTATCTTGTGTATAGATTTTGTGGCATGCTTTTATTTTTAATTTATTCTTTTATTCTGTTTCTTGATTGCTTAATTTGTTTTGTGTCTGCTTTTCTAAAACCATTATCAAATAATTCTGTTAATAAAATATGGTCATCCTTTAAATACACAGCTGGAAAGTTTTTCATTTTGTAAAATACATTTTTAAATTTTTTGATCAATTTCTTTCAGTTTATGACATTATTAAGGGTTAGAGCCATTTAGCACTATTTTGCTAGACTCTGTAATAGAGAATTATTTCATCATTTTTATGACATGATTGTTTACCAATTTAGAGAATGTGCTCTTTTTAAGAAGTTTTCAATCAGCCTCTGATGTCAGTGTAATGTAATTCTCACTAAATGAATGATTTCCTTTTTATCTCTCTCATGAATAGTATTACTGACAGATTTGCACATTTTGCACTACATGCTAGAAAGCTTAGCACTAAATACATATTGAAAATAAATAAACTTACCAGTATCTATGAAGCATTTTTTAGATTTCAAATTGAAAAATTTGTAAACTGCTTGTCGGATGTTAGCTATTTGGAGTTCAGTCCTTCCTGGTGCACGCATTGGCTTTACTTTTGGTTATCATTTTATATTTTCAGCCCTAAACTCTTTCAGTAGTTTTTCATATTGAACAACTGCTTTAAGACAAGCACATACTTAAATAAAAACCAGTTTAAAATGGGTTTTTATTTACTTAATTGTACAGAAGCATGAGGATTTTAGAAAATTATCTACTACAATTCTTGTTTTAGACATGAAGGAAAAGTACAGGGGTGTGAAGAGCCTTGCCCCTTTCAAGAGATCAAATCTTAGTGGACTCTTAGGTTTACATAAGAATGTAGGTTCTATCAACCTAAAGTATTATTGCTTCATTTCTTTGGAGATGCCAAAGACCAACCTAATTTGTAAATCTCTCCTTTCAAGGCTTTTTTCCTGAGGACTTGCAAAGAAAATGTGTTTTATGAAAAGGAATTTCATTCTATTTCCATATCTAGACACAACCATGATTTATTTTATTTATCTATCTGGGTACCAGGATTAAACCCAGGGACACTGACTTAATCACTGAGCCTCATTCCCACAACTTTTTTATATTTGATTTTGAAACAGGGTCTTGCCAAGTTGCTTAGGGCCTCACTAAATTCCTAAGGCTTAAACAGGATTATGATTTTAAAAACTCAATAGTTTTTATAGGACTTATCACTGGATTGAAGGCAGACAAAATGCTTTTGTTTGTAAAATTTCAGTAGTCCAGTCACCTTCTGCTGTTTTTTTTCCAGGATGTTGGGTTGACCATTGTTATTGATAGTCATTTAAATAAAATGCTTCATTTGTGTATGTCTTAAAATTTAGCCAGTTGTTTGAATGAATCTATGTATGTTAGTAATAACTGTGATATTAGTAGAAACAGTCTTTAATTTTTTTTCACTTTTTTCAAATACGCATTTATTTCTCACTAATGTTTTCTAATCATGGGGCAGGATATATAAGTATTTATGGGTATCCCAGGATGTGGCACTTATTTATATACAGCCATGCGAAAATGAGCATTTATTTCTCATTTATTTATATTTTATGTATTCTCAGTCATCAAAGGATGACAAAAAGTGATTTGATAAAGTAGATGATCACATATTATGCAGCCTATATGATTCTGCAGTGTCTAAAAAGAATACCAAAGAAGAAAGGAGTTTAAATGGCATTTAAAAACTAAAATGCATTTAAAAATTAGGCAGTCAAAAAATTCATAAAGATTATGTTGATACAATATTAAAAGACAACTATAACAAATTGAATTATATATGCAACATTTGAATCATAGTGAGTATATAAAAGATGTGCAGGGCTTGGACTGTGGCTCAGTGGTAGAGCATGTGCCTTGCCCATGTGAGTTACTGGGTTCAATCCTCAGTACCACATCTAAATAAATAAATAAATAAAGATTTTAAAAAAAAGATGTGCACAGTAAAATCTACATATTTGTTTTTGTCATATGAATATTTTGCTTTTCTCTGGTGAGCAGTGATCTACTTTTATTTTGAAGTTTTGAAATCTTGGATTCCTTGGGTACTTAAGGAAAAAATAAAAATTATTTTTCCTAGTCACGCAATTCCTGAAATGTATGAACTCAAAATACTAGGCATTTTTTAAACAACCTTTTATCAAGTATAACCCTATGTCTGTTTCTGAATATTACTAACATATTTAAACAGTATAACATACAACAGGTTGTTTAGCATTATGTTGACAAAACAAATTTACTGCTTTCAAATTGTTACATGTTTTCTTTGAATTTAATTATACTCTGTTATAAACTATGTTTTTCAGATGTATTCTGTAAGACTCTAGTTCTTTGAAATATTTCAAATGATATAAAAAATCTAACTAGACATAATTTATTTTACTTGATATTATGGTCATTGGCTAAGTTAGAAACAATCAAATCATATCCCTCTCTGCTACCACAGATCTTTTGTTGAAAACATACTTTGCTTTGTCCCATGTTCACCCCAAATATCAATGTGTATAGTTTTTTTTTAAATATTTGATGTCAAGGAGAATTAAATTATTCATGGAACTGTTCCTTATGGCCAATACTGGACCCTAAACTTGCTTATTTGTATTTTACACATAAGAATTCAGGAAAATATTATCAAGTTTTTTAAAAGACTATAAATTTCCAGAAAATTTTTTAAAATTAATTTGGAACATGATACTAATTTTATAAAAGTTATTTTGTAAATGTGACTTTACCATGACATGTCAGACAATTGTAATTATAAGCAATTGACATTTATGTACAACTAAGTATAAATGATGAACATAGAATCTAATACAAAAGTCAATTTATTCAGTTACATATTGGGTTACTATATATATATATATATATATATATATATATATATATATATGTATATAATATAATATATAACAAAAAATCAAAGTATGCATAGTATTGAAAATGAAATGGCAATCACAAAATTATAGATTGAAGTGAAATTATATATTATTTAAGATATTTACTTATTGAAAACAATATGTATTATTTTATTTTCATGAGAAATCTATAATAAAAGCACATAAGATAAAAATAGAATCAGTGTGGTTGAGGATAATCCAGTGTTTTCAAAGACTGATTATTAAAGTTTGTGTTTTATTTACTTTTCAGATGTTTCTTATTTAAATATTATTTTATAAATTTAGTCCTTTGGTTTCAAATCAAAACTATGGTATACCATAATAACTGAGTAGATTGTGAAGAATAATCTTTTGTATCTAGTAATGAAACTCAGGGATAAATTTTTATTTTAAAATCTGTCATATTCAGAATATTTAGCTTCTTTCTGTAGTTGATGACTAATTATCTATTCTTTGTTCCACAAATATCAATTGAATATTATGCCATGAATGAGGAATATTTTCAGTGTTAAAGAAAAATTTTTTTAAAAAAACAAAGAAGATCTGAACCTTGCCTTCAAGCAGCTTATACTCTAATAGGTGAGATCAGTTAAATACTTATGCAACCACAAGCAAGGTACGTACTGTTGTATTTCCTAAAATCCAAGGCTGACTGAACCACTGCACATCATATTTTAGTCCATGTTTAATTGGAAAATGCTGTGGTTAAGTAGCAGCTCTGGATAGGATCACAGGAGTTTTGAGGTGTGTAACGGTACATACATTGGAAATGGCCTGAGAAGGATCTTGGGAGCAAGTTTTAGAAAGAAGATTCTCAGGAATGTAGTCAGAAAAAAGAATCTATAAAGAGAGAGGTAAACTCAATAGTGTGCTTCATAGAAGCTGCTGTTTTAAGAAAGTATAGGTTAACAGTATCATCCACAAATACTTCAGGATGAACATTTGAGAAGAATTAATCCATTTACTGTTTAGGAAACAACAGTGTATTTCCCAAAAGACTATGAATAGGGACACTTTTTAGAAAGAATATAACTAGTCCATAATAGGACAGATTCTATATATTGGGTATATAGTCACTTTATAATAGCCTTAAGAAACCTTGGAAGTACCAGTGGCATGAGATGAAAATTATAAGTAACAGTTGTGTATTTTAAGTATGTTTGCATTTTCAAAAAAGTATTTTATGTTGTAAAGTTTTGTCACAGTATAAATTTTAAAAGTCAGTTAGTTAATTCTTGATCTAATTTTGGAATCAGTGCTTTTTTCAGAGAGTAGTATTTTATTTGTATTTAAAATTTCTAGTAGATACATTTTTAATATTAAGCTGCCAATTGCTTGTGGCACACATGTTCCTAGCAATAACATTTGGGATCTTCTTAGAAATAAATGTTTTTGGTTATTTGTGAATGTCATAGAAATGTCATATTAAAAAAAAAAAACACCAATTTTAAAACCAGAAGCTTCACATTGCTATTGGGTTTATATAAATGTGGGAGAACAACAGAAATTTTGACATTCAAGGCAAACATTTGCTTTTGATTTTTAACGGTGCATGATGGGTTGTAAGGAGAGGTGAAGAAGTGGGCACTGAAGGACTGAGGTTAAATAAAATGTTCATTTGTATATTCCATCACTATCTAAATTCCATTTTGTTCTGATTTAAAATTTGATTTTGTTTTATTTTGTTCTGAGATGTTGAAAATCCATGTGCATCATTTTTTCTAGGTTATTTTCTGGTATAAATTTTAGCATAATTTTATCTTTGGTGTAATATTGAAAGTAGTTTTTCTGATCCCATTGGGCGTTGTGTTTGAAATGCATGTATGATTAACAAGCCTAGTGCATGTTAGTACTGCAGAGCAGCTGCCGCCCTCTATCATCTTTTTAGTTGTGGTTGCAATGTATGATGTTTCCTTGGTCTCCAAAGCCTATCACTTGCGACGTGAGGAAACGGATTGGTTTGATAAACCCAGGGAGTCTCGTTTGGAAAACGGACATGGTCTGGACCGAAAATTGCCAGAAAGATTGGTCCACTCTAGACCTCTCAGTCAACATCAAGAGCAAGTAAGTGCTATATTTAGTAATGTCTTTCAGATTTACCACCAACAAAAAAAGACTCAGTTCTACCCTAGAGTGGTCTCAAAATTATCCTAAATGTTTTTCAATCAAGTTCACAAATTTTTTTTTCAGTAGCTTAAGTGTGTGTCCCACTTCATCAGCTCTGACTCATTGACATTGGTTCATAGCTATTTAAATGAAGATTTCTCCAAAAGATAATCATTAAATTTGTATAAGACATACACCACTGATATGCAAGGAGAATAATGGACCTCCTAAAGAGCTCATAAGAATTATACTTTTCTTAGCTTATCTTTTTATTTTTACAATTTCCCTGTTTGTTACATTTCAACTCTTATGAACAAAATCTAGATAGGAACTTCAGTAATAAAATCATTCTAATGTGTTTTAAAATCTGAAATTTACTTCCTTAATCTGCAATTACTTAAATAATAAATACAACAGTTGAAAATAAAACTCTTAAATATCTTTCATTGTAAGAATTGCTATTTAATAGCATACTCATTATATCCTAACTGTCTAATTTGTTTCTCTAAACGTTAACATTTCCCACAAACCTAGGTCAAACCAATGAAAACACAAGTACTTTAAGAAAATTATAATAAGCTCAACTGTGTAAACTGAAGAACTAAAACATAAACTTTTATACATTTAACACCCAACCCTACTATTCCCACAATATCCAGAACAGTGTTCTCCATTAATTTTCCATCTAACATTATTTGAGAATACATTTAAGAAATATGTGTTCACCCTCAAAAATTTCTGAAATTTTATTGTAATGTAAAGAGATGAAACATGGTATCTCTAATGACATTTTTATTTATAATTTTCTATTATTAACATACATGAATTGATACATTAGATTTACGGAGGATATGTGTATTATATATTATATTTATGAAGGATATTATAATGTATATTATAATTTTAAATAATATAAACTTTTAGAATAATGACAGAATTAAGTAAAGAGAACTGAGAATATTGAGATGTATTTAATAAATTTCTTGTTATGATTGATAAAGCAGAAAATGTTTCTCATTAGGTGAATATAATAGACTAATGAGTATTTTCTTGCTGTTACCAATAGTTTACGTTTTTCACATTTTTACTTTGATATACATTTTACGAACTAAAAAAAAGAAAAAAATTATATAGTCATGTAAACTGCAAATATATAAAATTATAAATAGTTATAGATTTAACATTCATACAACCCCACACCGGCCAAGAAATGGAACCGGGTGCCTCTTCTGGATCATTACCTCTCCCTCACTCAAATAACAAATATGTTGATTTTGGAGGGCAAAATTTCTCTGTATTTCTTTATAATTTTTTAATAAATAGATACCAAACAGAAGATAACATATGCCTAACTACATAGCAGTCCAAAGTTTATAATATAAAGCACAAAATTCACACTTTTTATATGTTAATATTTATCCTCAAGTACTGTCTCTGTTGCATCATAACTATATTTTCATCTGGAGAATAGCAAAATAATATTTTCATTTTATTCACTTCTATGCATCTCTAGTCATAAAAAGGTAATAATGAGCTCTTGGAACCAATACAGTCAGATGCTTTTATTTGAAAACATAAGCATAACAAGAATTTGTTTTCATTAAGTGCTGTGGAGGCAAAAAGAATTTTAAAAACTAAGTAATGCAAGCGGTAGCTTATCTGCTTTAAAAGTATTTTAAATAAAACATACATAGAGGTATTGAAGAATAGTTCTGAAGATGTTTATTAGTTACATTCACTACAAAAGTAACCAAATCCGCAAACTTGTATTTGTTACCTTTCAATATGTATTTTTCAGTTTGTTACCTTTCAATATGTATTTTTGTTTAACCTCTGCTATATTACATAGGTCTCCAACTCTGGCTTTGTGAACTGAACATATCACATAACCTCTTTTATTTTTAAAATTTTCCTTAGTTACTTAATCTATAAATATGACTAATACCCATTACAGAGCCATGCGAAGGTCAACACATGATGACTATTACAAAACACCTCCACTCTGCATTCATGCCCACATCCTCTGCAGTTCCCATGCAGCTGCTGCATCGAGGCACATGAAGTTCCTCTGAAGGAGCCACTTGTCTCTTATGCTGGCCTTTGAATGTTCTGCTGTTTCCTTTGCCTGGAATCTTCTCCTCCTCTTTCTCTTGGCTAATCCTGCTCATCACTATGCATATGCTCCCTCTTGCATGAAGACTTCTCTGATACTACTACCATCATCCCTGCGAATCTGGGAAAAGTGTTCTGGGTTTGTGTTCCAGTACTACCCCATGCATTATGCCCTGGACTATGAGCATATAGAGCAAGCTCTATTCCATCCACATGGTGTATCATTATGTAATACTATGAAGCCAGTAAGACACACTGCTCCCTGCAACAAGCTAGTGTAGTATTCAGGTGAAAGAATGGATGAATATTGTATGTGAACACAAACTTGTTATTTCATAAACATGAAAGCTCATTACATGAAAATAATTTCTTTTGAAATATTTGTAGTTAGGGAATAAAAACAATCCTTTTGAGGGGTGGTATGCAAGTGATAGTTCTGTACGTGAAGAATTTACAATACACAATAGGGATAGATTCCAGATCCTTAGGGCAAGATATGGGACAGTACATAACCTCAGTTCCATCCCCTGGCATTTCTTCTACTCTTATGCAGCACCTCCCCACCTGTGACTCTATTCACTAGAGGATTCTCTCAACGTTCATACGCAATGATGAGAAAAAAGCTGAATCACATCTAGTCCATAGGTGGGAAAAGGTGCCTCTGCTTTTATAGATTCTTGGTCATTTTGAGCATAATTATGGAAGTTTAATGTTTTTGATTTATTAAAGGATATAATTTTAAATTGCATTCTTTAGTATCTATTTTACTTTTAATATTAAGTATTCTAATAATTTTACAACTGAGAATTATCATGGCACATTAAAGCCACATGAGTTTTCAAAGGAATCTTTCTTCATATAATACATTTCTTCAGGTCTAAATTCTGTTTAATATTTAGAATTATATTCCCACATCCTCTTAAACACATTCTAAAATAGCACAAAATTTCCATATTTATTAAACTTTCTTTCATTTTTCAATATGAGTCAAATATTTTTCTAAGACAATAGGAAGAGTCTATACTACAAAAAATCCATAATATTGTTATGTATGAATAAATCATTTCCATTTCTATTTCTCAGTATTTCACAAGTCTCTTTTGAAAGCAAAATTCTGTAAAATATAAAGCCAAGTTTCTATTCACTAATTTACTTTTGTTTGAGAAGTATCGTTTCACCAGGTAGAAGCAACCATAATAGTCTATAGCATTGTTATGTTCAAGTCTCAATAATAAGAATTGAAATGACAGACTTGCAATAATAGCTTGAATTGTTACTCCTTTTAAGAAGCTTCTATAATAAATGAGAAATAACACTATCAATAACACAACCTTTGAATACAAAGGAAGTTTAGAATTTCTTAGAATGAGCAAAGACTTCATTTATTTAAGTGAAATTTGTCATACATCAAGATTTCTAGATGTGCTTAACAGAAATACAATTCAACAATAAAATCAAGCAACTTAAACATAAAGCAATCCTAATTATAATGATAGAGTGGGGGGAACTTTCTCTGTTTTTTCTCTATTTGCACTACTAAATTGCTGAAAAATATTTTAAAATGCTTTTGCATTTCTAGCCTGTGCATAACAAAATCAGAATTTGAAAATTTTGCATTTACATCTTCTATCATCATCAATAATAACTACATCTGGCTGTTATAAAAGACACCTTCTAGGACCTCTTATTACATGCACTCATGAATTTCCCAAATAAGACAAATCACTTTGCAAGAATAATTAGTTATAAATGTTCATTATGAACTCAGAAACAAATATAATCATTATATACAGTGAATATGCAATGCTTAAATTATCATTTGACAATCTTCCAATGCATTTTCATTGATTTAAACAATGTGCTTTTAAATGAAAAAGTCTAAAGTCTGTATACTGTACTTTGTGTCTTTGACATTATGTTTCACCTTGTCACATGTATGTCTTAGATTATACAGATGAATGGGAAGACCATGCACTACATCTTTCCTCATGCAAGAATAAAAATAACAAGAGACTCTAAGGATCACACAGTTTCAGGTAAAGTAAATCAAATAATCTAGTCTCTTTTATTTTAATGTCAGTTTAACATGTATTTGCATTTCAGTTTAAAAGACTCATTATATTTTATAAAACCACTTTTCATATCAAAATTGTTTTTTAGAAAGTGTCCAAAAATAAGCAGGCTGAAAATAAAAGACATCATTGAAATGGTCCTAAACGTGAGAAGTCACTAAGTTATACATGCTTAGATCATTCTTATCACTAACTATATTTCTTACACGTACAAGGTATGACAGTGTTCCATAATTATTGCTCTATTAAGGAATGCTGTCACTGGCTTTAGGAATATAAAACATTCTTATACAGAAAGTAAAGAACTATCTTAAGTTCTTCTAAATGAATATTTTACCCTCTATTACTCAATGAAAACACTGTCAATTATGCTGTTTTCATTCATTCGTGTCTTTTTATAAACTGAAGATGAAAATTGAATTTTTTTTATTTGTTCTTTATAATTATTCATGACAGAAGACTCTATCATAATGGAATATTAACTTCTTATTTCAAAATAATTTTAGACTTCGGAGAATAGTACACACAGTTCTTTTGCTCAATCTTTGTTCAATTTCTTAATGTAACATCTATCCAACTATATCCCCAAATTAGCATGATATGATATTTTTAAGATATCTATAATCTTTATACAAATTTTGAGTTTCCCCACTAATCCATTACCCCCACTCCTCCCAATTCACGATCTAATACAGGATCTGTCACTAGATTTAATTTTCATGACTCCTGCATAACCTACAACCTGAGAGTTCCTCAGTCTTCCTTTGTCTTTCATGAATGTGAAATTTATGAATGATAATAGAATTTCTATATTACAAATACATTTTATTGTTTAAGTTAGTGAGATGAAGCATTTTTTCAAAGGTAATGAAATTTCAAAAACTGAATATTTTCCACCTTCTCATTCAAGTACTATACATTTTTTGTTTTGTGAACGCTGTATACCAACAGAAAATATTCATATATGAGTATTAATGTGTGAATATATGTATAGGCAGTAGATGGAACATGGCATATAGTAACATGATTTGGTTTTGGGGGGATTTATAAAGCATTATACAGCAAAAAAAACAAAGAGGGTTTAGTCTAAAATCTGACTATGGAATATGTAAATATGAAAAGATTTTTCTTTGAGCAATTTTCATCTATTATCACAGAGAATGAATCAATTAGGACTCTAATATTATTGTTTTCCTTTAAGACTATGTCATTTTTCATCTGCCAGAGACAGATAATTCAAATTATTATATTGCTACTCAGACTGTATTTTAAGCACTAATGAAAATTCCATGGGTAGATCTTTAAAATCCAGGGGCTCTTTTGTAGAAGTTATTACAGAATATGATTTCAGTCCTCCAGCTCATAAAGCAAAACAACATAATACTCTCCAGCAATGCCAAAATTATTTGTGCAGGATTTACAACAGAAATCTTCAAATCATTTTTCCTATATCATCAATAGTTTATTACAGTGGTATCTGTTTTCTACCTGTATTGTTATTTTTACTATCCCCTCAGCCTTATTATTCATTTCCTGCAATTTATTTTTAATTTGTCCTTTTACTTCAAATAGAAAAAAGTTTTAAAATATAATAGCAAAAATAAGTGCTATTGATTTGTTGTTATATTCTACCCTCAAAACGAAATTCAATTTCCTCTATTTTACAGAATGAGGAAAGAGGATTATTATTTTGAATAAAATTTTTCTAACAATGTATTATATAATCTCTCTACCTGCCCCCTTTTTCTTTTGCTATCTACCCAAAATAATAATACAACATTTTCCTCATTCTGTTTCCCTTTACTGACTGCTGCTGAATATATTGCCCACATATGTATAGGAAATATCATCCTTTGCTAAATTAAATGTTTGAAACAATCTGATATATTTTTAAATAAGTCTTTGAATTTTTATGTTGTTTTAAATGCAGGTATATGCAAAGTTAAAGTTATAAAGGGCAGTCTTTGGCAGAGAATGTCTGTGAGCAGGTAAACCCTGGAATAGAATATATATGCTCCTGGTGATATATTATGATATTTTCTGCTCAAGTAAAAGCCTAATAGGATTGAATAAACATGTGTTGATATTAATGACTTCTTAATGGTTTTTATCCATGATTACCATTTTGTGTAAATGTTTCTATTGGGCATATCTTTTTAAATTAACAAAATTGGGTATATTTATCATGTACATCATGATGTCTTGAAGTATGTATACATTGTGTAGTAACTAAATATAGCTAATTATAGCTTTCTGAGCATTTTTCAAAAGCACAATATATTGTTATTAGTTATAATTACCATTTTTAGAAATGCATGATAAATTTTTATAGATAAAATGGTATAATTTCTGGGATTGGTTTCAAAATAAACAAAGTCTGGAAATGGTGTAGAGATAGATAAAACCAAATTGACAGTTCTTGCATGATTTTTGGAGCTGGAAGATTAACTGCATTTGGGTGTTATTATAGTCTTATAATTTTTATATGAATGAAATTATCCATAGTAAATTTTTAAAATTCCTGTTTCTCATGTTTAAAGATAGACAGCAGTGTCTAATAGCTTTATCAATACTGAAAAAGCTGGCCAAACCAATAGTTTAACTGCCTTTGAAAAGCAAGATAAGTATAAGCAAGGAAAAAGCAAAAAGTAAAATGTAGTAAATACCTGCACTCCCAGCAGAGAAGAAAACAATCTTCATTTTGGTTGCATAAACCCATTGAAAGGTACTGTGTACCTTTTTAAATATTTTATCAGACAAATCTTCCTGATTGTAGCATAAAAAATTTTATTTAAAAATAATGTAAAATAAGCTCAATTAGTGAATTAAATAAGTATTTTTATGTATTAGAAACAAAAATAATTTCAAAATAAGAAACATGAATAAAGTGTGATTTTAACATATCCATTGTAGAATTTTCAAAATATGACAGTTGAACCCTCATGATTCTCATGATACCTTGAGGGAATCCTCAGATCAAAATTGTATTCATAGACATATTAAGGCAACATTTGCCCTTATCTCTCATCCTTCTGTGAATACACAAAAGACTTTTCCAGAGGCTACACACTGTGTGAAATCATAAGAGATTGTATACAGAATCAGATCTGAACTAAACTCTCTTCCATTAAGCCCCAGTTAAGCAAATTTGAAAAATGTAAACCAACATCATCCTTTTCATAAGTTTTTGTTTATAAAATAGTTATTTTTTCATAAAAATATGTGACTTATTTTAACATGAAATGTACTTACATTATTTGAAGTGCAGTAATAAATATTCTAATTTAATTCTCCATTTTAATTTATTCTACAGGAAATGTACATAGAGCCATACAATTGAAATCTCTTTGAGGTCCCCAGTGATATTAGAGGGTGAATAGTACCTGACCCCAAAAGCTTGAGAGCCACCTCTGTAAAGATGTTTGCAGAGGTTAAAAACAAACAAAAACCATATATGCTTTATTTCTCTTCATTAAAATATCTTATATAACTGAAACTCTATTTTGTAAATATTTTTGTAACTCATATTGCATACATTTTTTAAATGTTTATTTATCAGTACTTGTCCATTTAATACCCATAGTACAACTTAAATCAATTTGGATGCTATGTGAATAGAAGGAATAAACTAATCCTCAATTTACTGATGATGTAGTAGAAAGACTTGATATATAAGTAATTATTACAATGAAATTGTAGAAGGAACTGAAACAAAACCTAAGGAACTTATACCCAGACCTATATATAAATAAGGGTATATACATATACTATCCATGTGCATCATAATTTGTAATTGTGTAATATACTCAGAGAAATATATAAAATAACCACCTACTAAATGATCTTTAATTTTTATAAAATAGATCCGTTAACTTTTATCATGTAAACTGTAAAGATACAGTTGATAGGTATTTTTTAAAAATTGTACAATAGTTTTTGAAGTCTTTACTCAACTTAGCACAAGGCAACAGAGTGAAGAAAGTAGATAATGACTTTTGGAATCATAAAGACCCATATTGGAATTCAGTTCTAACATTTATTTAAATCTTGAGAATAAGTTTTTTCACCTATAATATCCGATGAGCTCCATGTATTTCACATAATCCCAAGTGAACCTAACACAAAATTTTGTACTTACTACATACCCACCGAATATTAATTCCCTTTATTCAGAAAGAAATGATCAGAAAAAAGAATAAAATGCAATGCTCAAGAAATGAGACTCTCTTTTTTTAAATTTAGAATTCAGTCTTATGGCTCCAGAAACACAGCTGTTTGAAACAAGCCAAAGAAATTCTTGTGATTTTAAATAAAGGCATTTGCTATGTATGTTCCATAATAGACTGGCTACATCTGCAAGGCTGGGAAGACTACTTAGCAATTTTAACAGTGAGGAACATTAAAAATGTCTAGCTTCAGGATATAGCAGTATCTTCTTAGGAAATAGTGGCTATTTTTTTATTCTTCATGAGTCTTTTAAAGACCTTTGAGTCTTTATTAATGATAGAAAATTTATAATAAATTTCATTGGATCTTAGTAGCAATACCAAATGTGAATAGTTCCTTTTTATAACAGCTGTATTGATAAAAACTTTATATGTTATAAATATCCATTGTTAATGTTCAAGTGCATAATTTTAGTAAATTTACAGTTATCGAATCATCATCACAATTTTTAGTTGCACCCAGAAACTCTGTTCTGTATTTTTAAAAAGAGTTTCTGAAGAATTAGTAGTATCTGTTCTTTGAGAATTTGATAGAACTCCACAAAAAGAAGTCATATAGCCTGAGCTTTTCTTTGTGGTAAGACTTTTCAATACTAATTCAGTGTGTTTCCATATAAGTCTAGAATTTATATTTCTTCTGTATTCAATTTTGGTTATTTGGGTGTCTCTAAAAATGTGTCCATTTCACCTAAGTTTTAGTCTATTCATACTATTTTTTACAGTTCATTTCTTTTTGCT